CCTCCCCCCCCCCCCCACACACACACACTCACACACACACACACACAGACCACTGATGATGCATTGGAAGTTATTTTTGACCTTGCGTATTAACAACCGTTGTACGAGATTTTCTTGAATACTTCTCCAGTTTATTTATTTAGTTTGCTCTTGGACCTGTTTGTTTTTGTGTTTGACGTTTTGTTATTAAACAAATCTACCATCTACCGGTGTTCTGAAGTTTTCTCTTACCTATAGTTCTTTGCTACCCGTAGCAGAAATTTATAGCCATATCTGATATTTGTGATCAGGGTGGTAGCACATTACTATAGGCATGAAATCTCAATAAATACATGCTTTTCACTCTATTTAGAGTGGTACCAAATTACTATAGACATGAAATCGCTATAAATACATGCTTCTGACTCTATTAAGAGTGGTAGCACATTACTATTGACATGAAATCGCTATAAATACGTGCTTCTCAATGTAAGTGGTAGCACATTATTTGAGGCTACACAGAAAATCCCTGTTAATATATCTGTTCTCTCAGGGTTTAGAGTAGCACTCTAGTCACGTGCGGGCAACGACATAGCAGGAAGCAGGCAGAACCCAAATGGAGTACTGGTGCATTTTATTAACAAAGTCCAAATTAACAAAACAGGAAGAACTACCAGGCATGGAATTCTCTTTGTAACACAGAACAGGAAACTCACGAACTGCTACAGAACAAGGATCCAAACACACTGCTCTTAAACACTGATCCAACACAATCACACTGATCCAACTACAATGATCCAACCCAGCCAGAGTGAGGGAGAGGGGTATATATACACAGGGAGCACCAGGTGACACCAGTGAAGCTAATTACAGACAGGTGAGTGTGATCCCACAGATTACCCCACAAAGCAGACAACAGGAAAAGGAGACAGACAGACATGACACTTTATTTATGTTCTTTACATTTACATTTACATCTGAAACCAGAGGGAATGTAAAAATGTTACCAAATGCAGCACATACTGTAAAAGAGAAAATAATCACGCTCAATCTAGGATTTTTCAGCTGTTTATTATTTTTATTTTTTACAAATGGTAACAGAAAGGATCATAATATATAGTACAGAATATTTGGGTTTATTTTACATGAGTTTTTTTGTATGTTTTTGTTTCTGAAGTTGTCTGCAAATCAGATATGTTTCCACTCAGAAGGAATTCTTCAGCGTACTGTCAATGAAATATGAATGTAATTGTGTGCTTGATTTGGTACATTATCTACATAATAACACATGTTCTTCTAGATACATAATCTTTACAATTAAATACTATTAGCTTAATCTTAAAAGTAGATAAACTTGTGTCGAAATAGTACGTTCACTAGAACCCCACAACTGCTGAAATCCATCTGTGTGTTGTGGTCCATGGTGTGCACTGTCCATACATATTTGGATTCCTCCCTTGACCTGTTCCTCAGGAAGTTTCTATAACAGCAATTAAAAGTATTGTTTTAAAACTTTTTTTTCCCTCTGAAAAGACATATCTGTGCAAATTATTCTATATATTACCATCAGTTGCTCAGAATCTTCCTGTTGTATGCATCCTCAGTTCCCATTGGGTCAATTACAGTGAGGAACTTCTCTGCCATGTTCACAGCCTTAAGTACTAAGTACTTTCATATTTCATATCAATAAACAGGCTGTATAAGGACTTTCTTTACTATGCTTAATGGTTACTCTACAGAGTCTTGCACAGCCTGCTTAATTTGTTCCATCCGAGACTTCGAGTCTACATAACAAAAGAGAAAATCTGTCAAAGTACTGAGTCATCAGAAATCAAATATTTTGGAAACAGACCACAAGATTCCAATGTGCAGTAACATTCACAGGACACAGCCAAACATTCTCTGCTGGGAACTTCATCTGTAACAGATAATATAGAAATATGTACGTTAATAAAGATGAGTTAGGACCCTACATCAAAAGAAATTACTTACTTTCTTAATACAAAGTTACATTACCTTATGGAGACTTTTAAACTGCCCATTAAAGAAGAGGGAGCTTGCTTCAACGGCATTGAGATAAAATATGGCTTCCTGATAAAATGATCAATATATTTGTTAGTTCAAAAGTACAGTACATCCATAGATCATGTCAAGTAATTTCCATTCAAAAGTAACACATACCTTGTGGGTGATAGGGTGTGTTTCAGCCCACCTCCTCTGTTGAGTGTTGTTTTTTCCAAGTTGACAAAGGTTGTTGTCCTCGAAGGAGTGTGTTTTGTCCTTGAGGTGTATGTGAACAGCTGAGTCTTGTCCTGAGGAGTTGCCCCCCGTGTTGCCTAACAGAACTCTTCAACCGTGACAATGACCTGAATGACTGAGAATCTTCATAGACAGAAGTTTAAAATGTTTATGTGCATTGCTATATAACATTCAGCCCTAATTCATCCAATGTACGATATTTTAGAATGAAAGATCAACAGTGGTCACCTGACTTTTTTCTATTAAATTAAGTATTTCTCTCAGAGAAAAAGGCAACACTGATATAATTTCACACAAAATTCATAAAATGGTTAGGAAATGTCAAATTTGCCTTTTTCTCCATTTTTTTGTGTAGTTCCAATGCACACAAAGGAAATAAACTGAATATATACCTATCAAAACATGTGTAACGATCAATAACTCAATGGAAGAAATACTTATTTTCATGGAAAAATGTCAGGGGCCCATACATTTCCATCCAAGTCTGTAGGCCAATATCAGAGACTTGTAAACGAGCTTATGCAATACTGTAAACCCTGTGCTAATTTAGTAAGGTACTGTTTTAAAACAGCTGGAAAATCACTGCGCTATTAGACATTCGAATTGCATACACATAAGTTTGCAGGATACATGAGCAAGTTTTATGACTAGCAGAAAATGATGTATGCATGCGCAGTTAACTCGGGTAGGAAAAAACCAGCTCCCAGTTTTTTTTTCTTCCTTTCGCTGCTTACCTCAATGCTCAGCCTGGGCTCTGCTCAAGGCAGAATTTTGTTTTGATTGGTCAGCATCGTGGACAATCAGATGTGAGGATATAGGATTATACCATTATGTGAAAACAGAGAGGGGGCACTGTGAAGTGGAGCCCCCTAATATTCTGTCTAATTTTTTGTCTGTCTAATAGACAGACAGTGGAGATGGGATTTATGGTTCTTTGGGATCCGTTCATTTCAAAGAGCCATTCAAAAGACAGGCTCATTTGGCTAATTTTTATATTCATTCACTTTTATTTATATATTTACTCACTAATTCATTTTATCCTGGAAATAATCACTGGGAGGAATGATGGGCTGAGATTTGGATCAGAATAATTTCGAACTTAGATTTCCCACCAATATTTTAGTTTTAATTATTCTGAAATATTGATTGCTTCATTCGACATGTGTGGACAAGATTTTAAAGTCTGTTATGGATTCATTGTAAATATTCCACTGCCATATCCCTCTAAGTTTACAGTGAGATCACTATTTAAGGGGAGCAGTGTGTGGGGACAATGCCATGCTCAGAGCACCTCAGTGGTAACTTGGCAGCTGGTGGATTCGAACCTGCAACCTTCCGAACCCAAGTCCTCTTCCTTAACCACTAATATGTACCACTGTATATAGTGTTTGTGTGTTAACACTATATCATGCAACACCTAAAACACTTATAAATACACATTAAAAAACAAAGCAGGCTACAATGAAGTTCAATGTAAAAATTTTTAACGCAAAATTTCCACACAAGAACATTTCTAACAATACAAAAAAATGTGCATACAGCCCACTAGTACTACTACAAACTACAACAAACTGTACAGTGGACTAGTGAACTTTCCCGAGGTGCATATAGTTACTTTGAAAAAAGCTCTGAACCATAACCCCAATAACAAAATAAAGAGTAAACAGAAGAAATTAAATGAAATTAAATAAATTAAATTTCCAAAATAATAAAGCAGTTCCATGCTTTATGGCCTCTCCTTCTCGTCCTTCGGCAAATTTGCATTGAGGAAGACAAGTGACCTCACTTTTGCAGGCTTGAGGTGACTTCTCCTCTCTGTGACTATTTGTCCAGTTTTCGAGAAAATTCTCTCAGATGGAACTGATGTGGCCACAACGCAAAGCTTCTTAGCTATGAGTTTGCTAAGCCTGGGGTACACAGGCACCCGACTTTTCCACCACTTGAGAGGATCTTCATTTTTTGGAACAAGAGGCTCCGCTAGATACACCCACACCTCCATGACAGCGTCTGCTGTGGGGTTCCGAGTTGCTACTGTTCCAGCTACCTGCTCATAGAGGTGGGAGATACAACAATGGGGTGGGAGATAAAACATTTTTTATGAGATTGTGATATTAGACTGATGTCATCCTAGATTTAGAGAAGAAATTGTGATGAATTTTTGCCATCCTTACCTCCTCGTGGAAATAGCTCCAAACAACTGATTCCGGAACAGCACTGCCTGCTCCTTCCTCTTGGACCGGTTGCTGGATGGGTTCGCTGCTGCTAATTGCGAGTCTTGCTGCTGCAGTTGATACTCTTTGAAAGGCCTTGTGTGCAGTTCTGCCATCCATGAATGCCATCCTTTTGATCAAGGGTCAAGCGCAGTTGCATCCACAAGGATGTGGTTGAATTCCATTCTATGGAATCTCGCTGACATACCAGAAGAAAGCGAGTTGACCATGTTTTTTCTGCCTGTGTTGTTGCCCTCCTCTGGAAATCAGCCGTGGCTCTCTGCAGTCCCCTGGCCAGCAGTATTACTTTGGAGGCAATCAGGGTGGAGACAATGGGGTTCTTGTTGGTGAGGAAACTCTGCAACATGTAATACGTTGAGTTCCATCTTGTGACACAGTCCTGTTTGGGTCGTAGTTTGTCCATCTTAATTTGGAGCTGTGGTTTCCTTCAATTGTTGTGCTTCCACTGTGCTTCTATGAAAGTATTCCACTGCCTCCTTAACTTTATTGATGATGGGTTGTGGACCTTTGAGGGCATCTCTTACAACAAGATGTATGGTGTGTGCCAGGCACGGGAGGTGGGTCCGTCCTGTTATCTGAATGGCCTTTGTGATGTTTGCAGCACACCAGTTTCTTGTCAACCTCCCACTCTCCTGCAACACTGAGGAGGTTCTTTGCCAAGTTGTCTGCTGTGTGCCGCTCATTAAATTCAAAGCAGTCCAGGAGGCAGGAGGACGTAAAAAAATCTTCAATGAAGTGGCATGTTACAGACATGAATGAAATCGTTGCCCTTGACGTCCAGCAGTCAGTTGTTAGGCAAACCGCTGACACTTTGGACACCCTTCTCCTGAGGGATACTGCTTATCTACGGAGAGACAGAATCTCTGTCTGCCGATTCTGACGCACTCGCCTTTTTTTTTTTACTGAGGCACTCACGTGAAGAGTGCATGCACAGCTCGTGCAATATTTGCACAATATGCAAATATTGCATGAGTTGTTGCGCTAATTTCATATGCAATGCATATGCAATGCAATACATATGCATTGAAATAAGCGCTCCTTCACATGTTCTCTTCGTCTCACTCAGTGGAGGAGCTTGTGTGATCATCCGTGTGCACCAAAAAAAAAAAAAAAGAAAAAAAAAAGGAACGGCTGCCAAGCAAACACGACTCGTTTCCCATCGTTCATGTTAATGAGCCGTTCAAAAGATCTGGTTCGTTTGTGAACGTCACAACTCTAATAGACATATCAGAACTGTCCATCCTACAGTGCAGTTAGAGGAGAGAGGGCAAGCTAGCACACCGTCTACTGATCCTGGTGTGTCTCATCCCAAAACAACAGCAACTGCAGCAGCATCTACTGGCTTTCCCGCAAGTATAACCTCTCCTACTGCAACTCAAAGCAAAATAAGTCAGTTTATACCAAAACAGATGACCCCAGCCAAACAGTATTGATGATGAGTTGGCTAAAATGATAGCTACTGATTTCCAACCCTTTTCCATTGTGAAGGACAAGGTTTTAAAAGTTTTGTCAAAACTTTAAATCCCACATACACTCTACCCAGTAGAAAAACATTGTCCCAAACAACAATAGCTAAACTATATGACACAGAACGTGCATTATGGCAAGAAAGGATGAAAAAACCTCCACCAGTTTGCCTGACAACTGACTGCTGTACCTCCAGAACATGCATGATTAACATGATTAAAATATTAAACAAAAGAATTATTTTGTAACAGAATAAATGCACAAACTTAGACAATTATAAGGCTTCTCATAAAAACACTGCACATGAAAGGGTTTTCAACACACAAACCATTAATTTTTGCAAAGTTATGGTAAAATAAAGGCCAACAAAAAATCCTAAATTAAGAGCCATTCAGGAGTCGAAAGAGCCGGCTCTTCTTTGGGAGCTGAGCCAAAACCACTCACAGCTCCTCTTCACAGGACATTGCAGGTAATTACCCATAAGTCACTGTTCCCCTGTATTGGATCTTCAGCCCAAATACACCCACACATGCAGCCTGCCTCAGACTCATCTATTACCTCTGGTTGCTTGTTGACCTTTTCAGACACAGTCTGACAGGCAATTCAGATACATGACACAAAGCAGAGGGTGTTACACTCCAAGTCCTACAGACAATTGCAGAGGTCCCAGGGTCAGTGGGGGGAGAGGGTGTAGTTTACCCGACAGCTGTGAGGATTGTCATGGTGGACTTTAATGCCCCGCAGACATGTGTGAGCAAAGCTATTTTTACTCCGCCTTAGTCATAGAGGTAGAAATCCAAAAGTTCTGTGATAGCTCCGTTATCTTTTTTTACTTCATGACTGCAGTGGGTGGTTGACCCTTGTGAGATGTTGAGATGTTGACCCCTGTGGGACACAGCAGGCTTTGCCCTCATAAATATAAACGGCTCTTGAGGGTAACACAATCCTTCTGCTCTGGGGGGGTGGGGGAGCGAGGGGGGCCCACATGTGTCCGTTCCCTAAGACATATGCCGGATGCCGGTGCAAAATCCTCCTCCTCCAACACATACAATGGCAGTCTGCGTGTATGTTTGTTTAAATGTTTAAAGTTAGGCTGTGACCAAAAGGATATACTTTCTGTCACAGCCTAATTCACGGTCTCATCTGGTCTTTTTGCAGCCAGTTGTGAGTCCTAGTTCTTTCACAGGGTAATACTTGATGGTAAAAGATCACCTAACCGTTCACGGTGTTGTCAGCTGATTAATACGAGAACCAGCTTACAGTTGCTCTCATCCTCAGCTCACAACACCTGGAGGTCGGGCTCACGGTGCTGGCTGATTCTGCAGTCAACAAGAGGCGAACGTCACTGTCAGGTCTCCCTGACATTGTTGGTCACATCACCTGTCAGTACGTGTCACTGTCAGGAGGCGGCCTACGTCAGTGTCAGCATCAGCTGAGCCAGGCAGAGGTCTGACCGTCAGAGCCGACAATTGTCAGCTGTACTTTGACTTTCACCTCACTCTGGTCTGGTCTCAAGGCCTCATGGGGGCTCTCTGAGCCTCCTGGGCCATTAGCTGCACCTGGACTACTTGCTGCATGAGGTCTGAAGGATGAGCTGCAGATTCCTGCTCATCTTGTCTAGAAAAACTGTGGTTTCTCTGACCTTGACCATGGTCGTGGTGCTACTCAGTGCCATCATCGCCACCACGGTGGCGATGATGGCCATGACCAGAGCCACGTGGGTGAAAATCGTGAGCACCCCTGTGACCATGATGATGCCTGTGATGGTGGTCATGGCCCTGACCGTGTCCTGCTCCAGCTGGTGAACCATCCACGTCAGGCTGCGGTACTGCTTCCTGTGTGCATTCCTCTGGAGTCTTAGGACTCTGTAGGAAGAAACAGAAAGTAGAACCAACTCAGAAAAAGGATTTACGAGTTGACCTTTATGCGTGGTGTGTACCTCGTGTGTGCAGTCCCCACAGATGCATTTGCAGTAGGTGTCTTTGATTGCACTTTCAACATGACCATGCCGATGATGGTGTACGGCAGGGAAATGTGGTGGGTGAGACGACCGCACCTGATTCAAAAACAATAAAGTGTTACATTTCTGTGGCAAGTATAAAAGTTACAGTGGATCTGCTGGGTTTTTAATCCCTCATTATCTCTTTCCATTTCTGAGGTAACTCCCCTGTCATAAATGAAGAAGTCGTCCTTGTCACAGTTCAGTGTCTGCCACACATCAGTCTGCTGCTCATCCTGTTTGTAAAGCGTGATGTTCACAGACAGTCTCCCTTCAAGCCTGCTGTCTAAGCGTTGTGCTTCCACCCCCTGGTGGTTAACGACCAGATAGGCCACATTCTTCAACCCCTGACTCTCCAGGCTGTGGCGCAGGCCATCCATTCTGTATAGAGAGCAGAAGTCAAGCACAGACAAGCATATATATATACATATACATGTTTTTTTTGTTTTCTTTTCAGTATTGTAGGTGCAATGGGTCGAGTGCTGAGTGAAGCACTCGGTGTTATCAACCAGTCTCAAATTAATAACACAACCAGTCTCATTAAAGTTATCTTTAATTATTATTTTAACCTACTAATATAGCAATAATGTATTACTTGAAGTATTACAAATATACTAAAATCAATAGTATCCAATAACAATTAAATATCTGAAGGATTTTGAGAGTTCTTGGCAAATTGGGTGGCTTCAATGAATAAAGTAACAACACAGACAAACACAGTTTACAAAAATAATCAAATTTATTTATACAACACTGTCAAGTTAATGACGGTGATTGAACTCATAAACAATGATCATTATAACAAAACAAGGCGTGTGTAGGTGTGTGTGTCTGTGTGTGTGTACTTATGTGCGTGTGTACACGAGTGGTCGTGTACGAGAGAGAGAGACGTTGCCTCTTAGCTACCAAGAAAGCGACTGAGCCCTTGAGGCGTGTTCACATACGCGACTGCGCAGTGGAAGAAGAACTGCGAGGTAGAAGGAACGGCAACAGGAAACACGTGAGGCGTGTATGCGCTCACGGAGGTGTGAATGGGTGTTGTGTACGCGCACCAAGATGCGCTCAGGTACAATGAAACAGTGCTTGTGATGTTATCAAAGTATATGGGGGAAGGGAGGCGTACCGCGTGGTCTACTCCAGACAAAGGACTTTGTCGGAGTTTTCCTGATCCCAATACTGATAACGTTACAAGTTAACACTGAAATACTGACGGTGTACAAGAGTATAAGACCGAGTCAGGAGGTTAGAAAAGAAGTGCATGCAACAGCCTAGCTATAAAAGCAGCACAGATTTCAGACAACAAAATTCAATATGCGTACTTAAACTGTCCCTAAGTTTAAATAGCACTTAACAATACTACAGATTAACTAACGTGCCCAAATGCCAGCCTTACTGTAGTGAACGTCTGCTCGTATTTAGAGGGTAGTGGAAAGTCCGTGCTTCTTGGGTCCTTGCCAGAGCTGGGGACGTCCGTCTGGTTCCACTGTGTCCAGAGAGTCCTCTTGGTTCCGAAAGTCCGTTTCAGGAGGAAAAGTCTCTGACTGTCGATGTGCCGGTTCACACGAATACCGTTAGAAGGAATCCTGTCGCTTCTAACTTTTCAATAACTGCTTTGGTCGCAGCGCTACGTTACTTGTGTAACTTAATTACCGGTTAACTCAGTTAAGAAAAAGACGCTACTAGTGCATTTATCACCGTGGGCAATGGTGTCTACAAAAGCGCGTTGGTTCTTAGTCTTCTGAGACGAGCAGGTTTTCTCTTTTCATCGAGGTCCTACGGAGCGAAAGTCCTGAACAGAGAGAACGATATTGGGCTGACCCCCCAATTTAAAGGTTGCGGAGGTTACTGATCGTGACGTATGTGGATTTACCGGAAGCAGTGGAATTATGGGAGTTTGAGTCCTTGAAAGGACTGTTGTAGTACCTACATATCCCCCCTTTGGTCTTAGGGATATGACAGAGTCGTAACCCTGAGAGCACAAGGTTGTACAGTCCATATTCCATAATCCATTGTCATCCATATTGTCCATTTAGTCCTGTAAAATCTCAGAAGAAGTTGAGTCCTGACAAACAGTTCAAGGCATGGGCATTTGGGCAAATACCAGGCTGTAGGCATTTGGGCAAATACCATGCTATACACATGTGGGTACATGATAACTCACTACCTGACTAACACGTTCATGTACCACAATTTAAAAATACCCATTAACTTCATTTCTTCACATTGGAAAAGAAAAGGAATGAAGGAAAGGAAAGAAGTGTTAGTTGTCAGGGGTTAGACCAAATTATCGTTCACCCCCCTTTTGGAGTGAGGACTGCTAAAGGGTAAAGTTTGTTTTAATTGGTGTGTTCATTCGTTTTTAAGAGGGGTCTGGTCTCTATTAAACCTGTCAATAATTTCAGCTAACTGAGCCTTTACAGACTCCAATTCTGAGTGGAGCTCACTCAGTTCGTCTGAGTTACAGAAACGAACATGCCTACCCCTATGCTTCGGATCACGCTCAGACTGTTTCCACCATCTCTTGTTTGACTGTTGGTAACCGTCTCGTTTCCAACCACCTTGGTCTTTACGACCTCTTTCACGGGGTCGGTTGTTGTAATTATTGTTGTTGCTGAAGTTTTGACCATGGTTGTTCCTGTATCTATTTTGTCTCCTTCCCCACTCACTTTGGTGATGGGGTTTTGGAGCAGGGTTTCTCCAGGTGTGTCTCCCTGGTGGAGCTTCACTCCCTTCTAAGTCTAACAGGGAATTTCCTGCATCCTGGAGACTAAAGACTCTGGGTTCGTCGTCAAGTCTGTCCATTGGTCTGACGACTGTCTCCCAGGTCATCTGGGCTAGCTGCCTAATTTCCCTCATGGAGTAGTAACCCTGTCTGCATGTCACTGTGACATGGTTGCGTACACTTGAGTGGAGGTTGTGTAAGAAGAGGGATTTGAAACCTCTATCTTCCTCCAAGCCTGGTGCACTGCTACCCTGGAAATATGCGTTGCGTAGCCGTCTATAATATTCACGTGGGGATTCTGACCGTTTCTGCTCGATTTGCATAGCACACAACATTGCAGACGTCTCGTCAGTGTATTGCTCGTACTCTTCCTTCAAGTACTTACGAAGTCTCGTGTAGCTATCACGGACTTCTGGGGTTAGTGTCTCTATGAAAGCCCGAACATTGCTGCTAGACGTCTTCCAGATTAGCCTAAGCTTTTCCCGTGTTGTGGCGTTTGGCAGATCTACAAGGCATCGGTCAACTTCCCGTAGGTAATCATTAACATTAATGTTTTTATTATCTGGATCAAAACGTTCAATGTCCTGCGCTAGCAGATCAATTTGACGTATACGAGGTTCACGGGTTGCCTTTCTACGTGACCTCCTTGATCTTTCTGAATATTCACTGTCTGAACTATTTACTGATTGTTCATGGCGCTCTCTATGTCTATGGTCCAGTTCATCCGCTGATGAATCAGGGATGTCATAATACACCGGCTTGGGTGTGCCAAGGGATTTGGCTCTGGACGAGTGCGGTATGGCTCCAGCCTGGCTATCTGATGGAGTCGTTTTGTAGCGGTCTAGGATGATTTGGTGGGCTGTCTGGTTATGCCCAAGATGATTTTCAGTATCTTCATCGGAATAGTCTTCCTGTTTTGAATTTTCCTCTGGTAGCGAGAGAGAGTGGGCATGTGTTGCTTTGGCTCGTTCTTGGTCATTGCAACACTTTTGGAGGATTTGCTCTTCAGCAACCCTCTTGTCAGCCTTTCCAGCTCTCTGTAGCTTGCTGACACACTCTGTAAGGGACTGGTTAGTAAGCCTGAGTTCCCTTTTAAACTGTTGGTTAGCCTGAGCTAGCTCGTCTCGGCTGTCGCTTAACCTATCTGCCACTTCATGAAGACGTCTGATTTCTAAATCAGTGTCTCTGAAGTGGAGCAGGAATAGCTTACCTATTATTTCCTCTGCACTGGAAATGCATCTGGGGTCTCTGATCTGTTTTATAGTGGCATCTATGGTGAACCTGCATTCAGCCTGGCTCAACCTTTTAAAGTTTGCCTTGGTGGAGCTGGAGCAGTGAATTAAATCTGCGACAACATCAAAGAGAGACACGTCTTTAGCGGTGTCTTTGTGGTAAGAGGTGCGCAGAGATGCCATTTTAATTTAATTATTAACAGTAAAGTTTAATAATTTGTTAAAATAAAGAACTAATCTCCTAGATCTAATAAAATTAGGTTGTAAGTAGTAAATACTATTAACCGTCTGAACACACCTGAAAACAAACCTTGCAGTTACTAAGCAAACTGATAATTTGTCTATTGTTGAAACAAATATCCAAAGAAGCCAACAAAACCAATTTGCCTCACACGGGGCACCATTAATATGTAGGTGCAATGGGTCGAGTGCTGCTTAGGAGCACTCGGTGTTATCAACCAGTCTCAAATTAATAACACAACCAGTCTCATTAAAGTTATCTTTAATTATTATTTTAACCTACTAATATAGCAATAATGTATTACTTGAAGTATTACAAATATACTAAAATCAATAGTATCCAATAACAATTAAATATCTGAAGGATTTTGAGAGTTCTTGGCAAATTGGGTGGCTTCAATGAATAAAGTAACAACACAGACAAACACAGTTTACAAAAATAATCAAATTTATTTATACAACACTGTCAAGTTAATGACGGTGATTGAACTCATAAACAATGATCATTATAACAAAACAAGGCGTGTGTATGTGTGTGTGTGTGTGTGTGTGTACACGAGTGGTCGTGTGAGAGAGAGAGATGTTGCCTCTTAGCTACCAAGCAAGCGACTGAGCCCTTGAGGCGTGTTCACATACGCGACTGCGCAGTGGAAGAAGAACTGCGAGGTAGAAGGAACGGCAACAGGAAACACGTGAGGCGTGTATGCGCTCACGGAGGTGTGAATGGGTGTTGTGTACGCGCACCAAGATGCGCTCAGGTACAATGAAACAGTGCTTGTGATGTTATCAAAGTATATGGGGGAAGGGAGGCGTACCGCGTGGTCTACTCCAGACAAAGGACTTTGTCGGAGTTTTCCTGATCCCAATACTGATAACGTTACAAGTTAACACTGAAATACTGACGGTGTACAAGAGTATAAGACCGAGTCAGGAGGTTAGAAAAGAAGTGCATGCAACAGCCTAGCTATAAAAGCAGCACAGATTTCAGACAACAAAATTCAATATGCGTACTTAAACTGTCCCTAAGTTTAAATAGCACTTAACAATACTACAGATTAACTAACGTGCCCAAATGCCAGCCTTACTGTAGTGAACGTCTGCTCGTATTTAGAGGGTAGTGGAAAGTCCGTGCTTCTTGGGTCCTTGCCAGAGCTGGGGACGTCCGTCTGGTTCCACTGTGTCCAGAGAGTCCTCTTGGTTCCGAAAGTCCGTTTCAGGAGGAAAAGTCTCTGACTGTCGATGTGCCGGTTCACACGAATACCGTTAGAAGGAATCCTGTCGCTTCTAACTTTTCAATAACTGCTTTGGTCGCAGCGCTACGTTACTTGTGTAACTTAATTACCGGTTAACTCAGTTAAGAAAAAGACGCTACTAGTGCATTTATCACCGTGGGCAATGGTGTCTACAAAAGCGCGTTGGTTCTTAGTCTTCTGAGACGAGCAGGTTTTCTCTTTTCATCGAGGTCCTACGGAGCGAAAGTCCTGAACAGAGAGAACGATATTGGGCTGACCCCCCAATTTAAAGGTTGCGGAGGTTACTGATCGTGACGTATGTGGATTTACCGGAAGCAGTGGAATTATGGGAGTTTGAGCCCTTGAAAGGACTGTTGTAGTACCTACAGTATTTTCCCCATTTGTCTGTATGTAATTTTAGTACATTTTAAATGTATTTATTTATTTAATATTCCTTACTTTTCCCTTACAAAGATTTTTGAAAAAAATAAATTATTGCCCTAATTGTTAAGTTAATAAAAGCAAAAAAATGTCACTTTGTGATAAACATGGACTGGATTGACCCATGTTTAATCATGAATAAACAAAGGCCAGGTAAAGGTCACTGGGGGACATGTGATGGACAAATACCTGGCGGCCTGCACCAGACAGAACAATCAGCTGGCTTGCAACAGGGCCACCATCATCACCTGACACATCATTCCCTTCATGGGCTCCACTTATCCTATTTTCCAGGATGGCGGCAGCTGACATCGAGGCCCACCCCCGTGACTCTCTGCTCCGCCCCCCTGGAGCGGGCAGAGAGTAAGGAGCAGGGGGAGGCACACCTAAATCCTCCTCACTCCACTGCCCCAAATCTGCTGAGCACAAAAACAAGTACAAAATAGCAGGGTTACCATTGTGTTGTTCCCCCCGAATTAGCATTTGTTGACTCATCGACGGTTTATCTTTGAACACAAGTTCTGATTAAACAGTGAAGAGCGACATAAAAAAAAAAATTGTTGGTAAAAAACAAATGTAAAATAAAGCAGTTTTGTGGCTTAAGCTTTAAAAAAAATGTTAACTGAAGTTGATTAAAAAAACAACATACTAAGATTAAAATATACTGGTAGCATAAGCATAAGGAAAGTGCTGCAGTATATCACTACTAATACAACATACTTAAATAACCGGGTTGCAAAATGTATCTGGATACACATCACAAAACATTGCATTCCTGACTCCTTGACAAACTAAGTAGCAGGAACTCTTACTCTTCAGTCAGGTATTTTTAGCACATATTTAATGTAATCTCAGAAAGACAATGCATAAAAGAAAACTTCTTTTCTGCCGTATTTACTTTAATATGACTTAATTTTTCACTCACCCTTTAGTCCGAAAGTTCCTTCCCTCTGCTCAGTTCCTCACTCTTGCAACTCCACAGACAAAAACAAGCCTCCTCCCCCTCTGCCTCCCCCTTTTGTACCCTGTTGTTTTCTATCAGGAAGAGGGTTGAAAAAAGAGGAAAGTGTCGATTGTGCAATGAATGAAAGACAAGAACAACAACACTGTGCAAAGGCAACACTCATTAACTACCTTGTTAAAGTTAAGCACAGTCAACCTTAGGCAGTATATGTGTTAAATAAATATTCTGTTGGGTCCATAAATCATTGAGAACAATGACGATTTTTTTTATTTTGCAACTATTGAAAGCAAGAGGGAAAAAAAGGGGAAGTGGGACATGGACTCTGGATTGGTCTGGATGGGTCTAAACGTGTTTCTGCAAAGTCAGCAATAAACAGATTTTTTCACCACAGATAAAATGCATACTTCCTGAGCACATGTGCAGGAATTAATTTTATACAGAAAAAGCAGAAAACTGAAGAAACAAAAAAAAAGAAAATTTACAGGAATATTCATTGTCCATGAAGGAAATGTAACATTTAGCCAGTGTCAAAACAAACATCAAACATCCTAGGGGTCGGTGCAGCCAAGCATATGATCTGTTTGCAGAAATAGGCCATGGTGTTCTGGGAAAAGAGGTCACAGTTCTCAGTTTACTGGGGTCAGGCTTTGTGGGGATGGGACCAGTTTATACCATTGAATATGGTGTGTGCTATATCTGTGTATTACAGTAGGAGAACTAAAGTATTTGACAGTGGCAAATGTTTTAGGGTCAGAGGTCAGTGTTAAGAAGTAGATACAGAACACAACCATGTCTGTTAGAATTGTTACTACATAAGGGTCTAAGTGGTCATTCAATAATAAGATATCATTAAGACAACAACAAAATAACAACAGATCCTGGGAGTTAAAGCAAATAAATATTTTTTTTTGTGTCTGTCTGTGTGAATAATATGTGGTGACCCAGACAAAGGAAAGAAGATGCAACAGAGAATGATTTAAAGTAAGTAATTAAAACCATGTGAAAAGCTAAGAAATAAAAACACACCACAATGTGAAGATGAATGAGAGCAAAAAAGACCCGAGCTCTTTCACGTGACAAATGAAACGAATCTGCGAGAACGAGGCGAAAGATTAGTTCACAGAGAATGATCCGTTCATAGTGATTAGTTCACAGC